GTGGGAGTGAAATAATTTCCGGAAAAAAAAAAAATATTTTAAGCTGGAGTGATAGCACATAAACTGCCTTATACCTGTGAGGTGTTCATAGGTAGGTGGAGGGAAAAAAGTGAAAAGCAACAGAGAACTGCTGCCTCACCAGCAGCTGAAACTTGATTCTGAGCAAAACAGAAGCAGGAACAGTGAATATGGTTGTATGCATTTAAAACTGGTGCTGCTGTTCTCCTTCCCATTATTCAAATAGTCAATTTTACCATCCAACCTTTAGCACTGATACTGCTGACAATAGTAGCTATAAAATGGCTAAGCCATAAAATCTCTTACAGTCAGGAAGGAGTTTGCAAAGATAAATGAGGGAGATGGTGCCAGAAATGTATGAGCCAAAACAGTTACTTTGGCAGAAAAATGTGAACAGATAAAAGTGAAGACACACAGCATTTAGGCCAGAGGGGTCGAAACTGCAGCAGCTGAGACACACAAGAATGAAGATCTGGGTGAAAACCTCCTTCTCTTCTCAGTCTGGATAGGCCAATTATTAAATACCTTGTGTCTGAAGGATCTTCGAGATCTAGATTATGTTGGGGATCATATGGATGGACAACTAAAAAAAAGATTATAAGTTGTGTAACTGAGATGGAGAAAAAAGTAGGGTTGTCCTGAATCTCAGACTGGACTAACAGAAAGATGCTTAGAGAAAGAAAAAAGATGAGGCATTATTTTGATTGTGCTGAGGTTGGAGCAAGAAAACATTAGAAAGGAAGGCCAAGATGGGTATAGAGAAAAGAAGGGTTTCATAGTCACCTGGACTTTCTTTTAGGAAATATTACATTAATAAAATATAAAGTGTGTGTCTACTCACAGTTTCAAGATTTTCCCCAATGTCCCTGGTTGCCATGGAGATGAGAGCCTGAGGACTGAAAAATAGTTTGTTGAAATTTAAAATTCTACTCTGTGAAACTAAACGTGGGTTTTGCCTTAAGTATGGAGACTCTTTGGGTCAGAGGAAAGAGCAGTTTTTGCTTTCAGAGGGAGTTTGACAGTGTCAGGAAAAGTTTTTTCACTGGCAGTAATAAACAGCTAAATTCAGTGAATATCTTTCCTCTTCCCTAGAGGAGAAATTGTATGAAATGGGAGATGAGTTGGCGAGGTTCACCTTCTTTTCTCAGACTGAAATGCTCTGACACACAGAGCAATGTCAACTAAGCAGGACAAAACACACTTCAACCTAATGACTAAAGCAAAATGCTCCCTCATCCATCTGTGGCGAGGCCACATGGATCTATTCCCCCTGTGTGCAAGTTATATAATCCCGCTCATCGTGTGGCTACGAGGGACGGAATAAAGAGTATTGCTGAGTAAGTATAAAAACGCAGGCATCACATTTGTATGCCTAACACAAAATGAGAAAAACCTGTTTCTCAAGCTATGAGCATGAATCCTCTGTTATTTTCTAAAACGTGCCCAGAAAAGCTTAGTTACTGCTTTGAAAGCAAAGTGCAGTTCAGGAAATTTCAGAAGGGAAAAACAATGCCGTTGCGTTTGCTATTACTCTTCCATTTCCTTCATTTTCTCAATGTGTTGTTGGAAAGTGCAGACAAGCTTATGATATGTATATCAAAAGAGAACTTTCCCTGTGATGGATGATAGCAGGACAAGGTCAATAGCAGAAGTGATTTAAGCATTTGCTAAGATCTGTTGCATTATTCCACTGTAAAGCCTGCAAGGCAAGAACACACTAAATCTAATAAATACTGAGCCACATTACTCCACTTGTGTCTCTCTGTTCATAAATAGAAATGTTTCTTGGAATTCCAAATTTAAGATTCCTGCCATGCTTTCAGTTGGCTATGATTTTGTGTTTGTTTGAAAGATGCTTAAGAAGTGCTTACAGGTATTTAGGAGTAACCAAACCATTCTGACTACTGGTTTTGAAAAATGATGAAATGTAGCTTGTTAGAGCTCAGAAAAATGAAAACGATAGATTTGCTGCTGATTACTAAATCATATTACCTTTATACTTGTATAAGACAAATAGTATATATTTTTCATTATTTAAATAAAATGACTTCTGAGTTGAATAAAAAGTGTTTACATTAAGTGACTGGCTGAAAATATTGATAACCATAGTAACAAACACTAGCAAAACATGTTCCCTTTGGGACAGCATCACTATCATGAAGAGATATAAAATCATGCTAGGAAGAAAGGGAAGGTGGAAGGAACAAAGGGAAAGATGTAAAATAAGGGCACATTTATACATTTTATAACTATAGCTACCTCCTCAAATGAAATAATGAGGGAGAGGTGGTGTGAACAGTATTTTCTTGATGAAATATTCCTACCAGGAAGAGAGTCTTCATGTAGCACAAGCTCCCTATAGTGTACATTTTTTATTCTACAGTCTGTTTACTATAGCACAGCGTTAGTAATAATTGCACTAAGTTTTTGTTTCCTGGAGTGACCAAACATGTCTTGGCAGGAATCAAGTGTTTCAGGCAACACTGCCTGTGACCCTTTCCATGTTCCCATGGCACTGGTCACGAGTAACCAGGACATGGGGCATAAATTGCTTGGGTATGTAGGTCTGGAAGAAACTCCCTCTGGACTGTTAATTTTCTAGCAATCAAATCTGCCAGTGTAGGACTTCTTTGTCCTGTTGTTTCAGCAATTCAAAAATTATTGTGCCACTGTGAAATTCCTTTAATAAAGATTTCATAAATATTTAATGCATATTAGGCCTTAAATAGCAAATATTTCTAAGGAATAAATGGTGTTATATTAAGAAGTATAATTTTCAGTAACTTCTTTTTTTTTATTAATATTTAGAGAATTTCTTCCCTACCCCTTTTTAGCAGACCATTCTGCTTGGGGCTACTGTTTTAATAGTGTCTCATTCTTGGCTTTGTCATTTAAGTTCCTCATTTAATTTATACATGAAAAATTCAATAGTTTCAATGTTCTAGCTTCTCATTGTTTTAAATTAAAATGGAAAATGTGTTCCTTTGTATACCACTGAATATCTAAACCACTTAAGGCAACTTTAAAGAAATCTTTTTATAAAATGTTTTTTTCTGTCTTCTTCCATAAGAGAAAGTGGGCAAGGCAGGTAAGATGACAAACTTTCTTGAACTGAATGTTGAATTTATTAGATATGTAACGATCAATAATAAACAAACTTTGCCTTACCAAGGTATCTGCAGGTTTTGCTTTCCTCTAAATTAACCCAACTCACTGATTTCAGTGTTTGATTGTTTGTTTTTTTTATCGGTTCTCCTCTTGCACAGTTTATGGCACAGATTGCTCTGGTGACAGGTTGCAAGGTTTAAAAGATCTCTGCTTTTCACAGTTGTGGCTAATGCTGTTGGGTCATATGAAACCCTCTATTTCTGGCAGTGGGAGTATTGTATCTTAACAGTGCCTGCTGCCTCCAAGTGGGAAGCCTTGGTTTAAGTCCAGTAAAACCAAAGGAAAGAGTGGTGTTAACTTTCTGGAGACTCAGGTCAGAACCTGTGAGAGCAGCAAATCTGTTTGCCTGCAGAGAGCTCAAAAAGCCCTGTCATAGAGTCTGGTTGAAGTTTTTAATTTATTTCCATCCAGAGCTTTAACAAATCAAGTCTGAAAGGCAGGAATTACTTCCTGTTCAAAGTACTAGAATGATGAGCTTCAGTCACATAATCTAGCACTAGATCAGAATCCCTCAGGGAAATATTTACATTTTGCCAGTTTACTCAGAGGAGTGGCTCTGGGGATCTGGAGATATCCTCTGCATATATATTTTAATTTTTTTTTTTTTTAACTGCAGGAAACACTGATGCCAGAGCTGAAGCTGGTGATTTAATCATAGGATTGCTAGAGGCTGCAGTATTCTATCTGCTCAGAAATCAATATCTGTACTTTCAGTTATATTAGAGAAATGTTTACTTCTTCACCTGACTGAGATATTAATTTCTATATGCCCTGTTGTCCGATTTTTTTTTTTTTTAAGGTAATGATTTGTGGGGAGAGTAGCCTAATTTATTTTGAAATCCTTTAATACTGCCCAATTTTCCCGTTATTGACTGGTTATTTTGTCTGTGTGTACAGCACCATTCACGTGCATCAAGATGCTCTGCAAAGGATTTGAATTGCTCTGTACGTAGGAAGCGATGCTCTTTGCTAAAACACAGCCATCAGGAGGGCAGCGTGTAGTAGCAACCTTTGTGTTGCCAGCGCTGCTGATTTCAGCTCAGGAGGTGAATGGGAGAATTCGTCTGGTGCATCAGGGGAATTTAAGTAGGTGAAATGCAATTACCCGCCTTGGAATATGATCAGGATACGGGTGCTAAACCCCGGCCCGGTGAAAAGTGCCGGGGGATTTTTAATGACCGCGAGTCAGATAACACTTTATTTCCCATCCCGAGGACAAAACCTCTATTAGCAGTGTCTCCTGTGAGTTTAATACGGGCCCGCAGGGGCGGGTGTCACCTCCCGTGGCAAGTCGCGGTTCCTGCATCTGCTCCCTGCCCAGAGGAGGGTGACACGGGGGCGGGAGGGAGGCGCGGAGATTTGCCGGCTGTCACGGGAGCTCTGTGGCAGGACACGGGCTGAGGGGGATGGCAGGGGCTGCTGCGGTGCCACTTTCTTAGTGGCTGGACGTATCTCCTGCCGGGAGCGTGCTGCAGCATCCAGCTGTCCCCGGAGGACTCCCGTCCACAGGCTGACCTGCCTCCATCCACTTCGTTTTCTTAATGAGAACCGATGAGATCGCGGCTCAAGGTGGTTGGTTACAAAAAGCACATTAAACATGTCAGGGCAGGTGATTCTCCCACTATAAAAATTGGCAGTGTAGGATTAGCTGGTATTGCGTTGGAAACCTATTAACATTTGAAGCAGTTTGAATTAGGAGTCTTGATAGAATTAAAATTACTTTCCTTCTCCTCTGTGAGCGTTGTTGCTGTCTTTGTGCACCTTGTAATGAGAAGACTTATAAACCAAGGAAGATGTTTTCCAAACATCTCTATGTGAAGCCATATTTCTCTGTCAGATTTACAAGCCTGTATGGATAAAGGAGAAGAAGAGAATGGACAGAGGAAAGAGAAACCAGTGAGTTTCTGCTTATCAAGCTTGACAGCACACACCGAAGCACAGAAGTGGGTAAGTGGAGAGGCACAAAGGTCATGGCCTTGGGAACAGATGTGCATTGGCAATGTTCAGAATTACACAGGACACGGGTAACAGTATCTTGTTTCTTACACACTCAGAGCAGGGGAATGCAGGTAGAATAACAAGGGAAGGCATCATCTTAGCCAGGGAGCTGGATGCATGTAACTTTTTCTGAGTGGGATTCCCTTTCCTTTTGGTTTCAGGCTGACAGCCCGGCATTAACAATGTGTGCTGAGGATATGCAACTATTTCTTCATAGCTGCATCTAAAAAGTTAGGAACCTTCAATCTGCTTCACTGCTTTGATGAGTGACCCCTAGAAAGCCTTATAATAGCAGAGTAAAGAATTACTACTGCTAATTTTAACCTGGTGTGAGTGGAGTGGTACCAGAATTAGTGCAGCATAAGAGGAGGTGAAGGCAAAAATCCAGGAGGTGGACAAGTGAAGCCACCTGGATGGTGAGTTTAGGGCAGGAACCTGGGACAGAGTTTTGAAGTACATGTTGGCCTACTGAGCAGACACAGAGATGCAAAATGGAAGGGAGAAAACAACGACTAACATCAGCTGGGGAAAAAGTGAGTGATCTCACAAGAATGTAACCCCTGGGCCTTTCAGCACAGTGAGATGTGGTGATCTGTAAGAGGAAGTGTGAGTAGGGAGAGAATCAGAAGGACCTGAGCACTGGTGTCAGGATTTTGACCTAGAAATAGTGAAATAAAATGCAGATTACAGAAAAATATTGCCTGCTGCATGGAAGTAGATGTGTCATTGCATATTTTTCCCTAGATCAGAGTTTGCTTTAAATTAATGGGATCAGGCAACCGTCACACATGAGCTGTGAAAGAGGGTCAGTATTAAGTGATTATGCATTATTTATAAAAGTAGCCTTTGTTTCTCATACTGTATTTCTAGTCTTCTATAGAAACTCAAACACTATAGGTTTAATTTTCATCAGTCCTACTGTTTGTTTGGGGTTTTTTTAACTTCATAATATTTTAGCTCAAAATATAAAGCTATTCCTTTCAGGACTTGATCTCAGTGTCTCAAATAACTCATCTTCAGGCTTAGTTTTTTTACTTCTTGATCCTTACACCAGCACAGTACCTATATACTCAAGTGAGTCCCTCTTTGGAATAATATCTGTATGTCTTCTGCTGGTAGAACATTCAAAAAAGAAATCCAAATTATTTTTGTCATGCATGTCTTGGTCTTCATCTATAGACATTAAAATATCACTTAACATCACGTACTCACCATAGCCCTTCACCTGGCACAGCCATCCCCGAGTCATGCCAGCAAAATAATCATTCTTTTTCTCAATATAAAAACTCATCAGCAGACCCATTTCCATTAGGACTCTTTGTGGCCTCTGGTCAGCTTGTGGACCTTATCTCTGGCAGACAGCATGACATTTCATGTGATTTTCACCCCTTTCTCCAGCAATGTCCAGGTTGCCTGTATTTCCTATTCCTTTGGCTCCTTCAGGTAATACTTTCTGCATAACAGGTTCTATCAGGTGCTCATTTGAGGGAATCCTGATATCTATCTATCTATCTCACATCTGCATTCAGGTTTTTTTGGTTCACACATGCAAAAAACATGCAATTAATCCCTTTATCTAAGTAAAAGTTCATCTGCTGATAATGTCTGCAGTTTTAAAACTCTTGCAGTACATTGCTTAGGGTTACATTTCCTTTAGCTGGTTAAGAAGAAAAGCACTTCTGAGATCATAATAGGGGATTAACATTTACTGAATATAGCGCAGGTATGACAAAGGAGAGTTTTTAAATTTTGTAAGCTCAAATGTATCCTAATTATAAGGGCTATTATAATCTAATTACCATTGTCAATAGTCTATCCACAATACTGAAGGAACTAATATTCACTAATTACTAGCAGTTTGGGTTTCCACATATCGTAGGTTTTGATTTCTTTTTCATGCATCAATAACTTGACTTTGATATTACTAAAAATAGAGATGGCAATCCAGTCCTGAAAACACTTCATTTAATTAAAAGCAATAATTCCATTCCATTCCATGAAATTATAACATTTATGTTGATCTTTTAATATACGTTTAAATATATATAGGGTATAAAAAGATTTGATGTTAATTTATGCAATCTACTATGAGAAATAAAAAAAATACCATGTAGTCCAGAAAGGTCACGTTGTCAAATATTCTGTAATGTATTTTATGGTGCCTTCTAAATAAAAATAATTAAAAGGAGTTCATGAAGTAGGAGCAATTCAGAGAGAGAGATTTCCTAAAATCCATAATGCTAAGTCTACTGTTAACTCCAGCAGTACAGATCTTTTGAGAAAAAATGGGAAAGAATTATGTTTTAGTTTATAAGAAAATCCAGAGGAGAAATGAAATGTCAGACAGGCATCACATTTTAAGTAACAAGTGAACAAGTCAATATTTGCCCTACACGATAAAAATGGAGTTAACCACCTTCTATGCACAGGCCTGGGAAAATAAATATCTCAAAATTTGCATCAAAGGAAACATTCCTCCTTTGTTTTAATCATGAATGAGCTTGAAAAGTAGCTGTACTTATTTAAACAGATGTTCCTTTCAAAGCGTGTTTTTTAGTACAAAAATGTTTCATGAGCCTTTTTAAAAAATAATAATAATAAAAAAGAATGAGTTCAGTTGTTTTAATATTGTAAGTAAAAATACCCTAACAATATTGGATAAACAAAAATGAGCAGCATAATGAGACACCTCTATTTCCACTGTTTCCAAGCATGGATGAATGGAATAAATGATTTATCAATTAGATCAATATCACTTGCTGTATCTAAAACCAGGAACATGTGAAAAGAGTGTAATATTTTCAGGCAGCATTTTTCTTTTTCTCCTATGCTAACCTACAGTGCCCACTGCATTCCTGTAATACCACCGTAGACCGAAAAGATACTCTACCTGAACATCTGTCAAGCAATTTGCAAACCATTTTCTATTCATGAATTATTTTCATGCCTGCAAAAGAGAGATCCCCCAGAACATGACATGGCATATAGACTCTGCCTTGTGCAGTTAAACCCACATAGACAGGGAGATCCACCAGTGGTGGACTCGCTTGAATAATTCTGATAGAAAAGAGGCTACAGAAAGTCAATGTGCAGGTGATGCTTTGAGGTGTGTGTGATCAGTGCTCTTTTACCTTTTTTCTCTCTCTTTTTTAGCTGTTTTATAACAAAATGACTGAGTTAGCCCAAAGCTTTGTACAACTGCTCTCACTTTCCTCCAGTGACTAAGTCACTTGCTCATCTTTTGGTAGCCCTCTGACCTTTACATCCCTTGCTCAGTCAAAATCATTCTACTGGCCAGTCTTCATGTAGGATGGATTGTCAGAAAGTGAGAGGCCCTTATTTGCATTAATGAGGCTGACAAAGACCCAGCGACACAGAGGTAGCAGAAAAGGAATTTATTCTTTTCCATCCATTGCACCACTAAAGCTGGTGTTGTTGTAGGATATTCAGACCTTTTCAGTGCAGCTCTTTGGTTAAATGTCACATTATACTTGGGAAACATGTGGCTCAAATTTTAACTTTCATTGCAATCTGTAATTTTGGCCACAGGGAAATTTCATTCACTAGTTCCCTCCTGGACAACAAGAAGTCATCTTGACTTTCTTGTCCTGGGAATGCAATACTTTTCACTACATTTCACACTGAGTGATTCCATCTCCCCCAACAATAAGACAAGTTAAGAACTTGTGTTATAAACATTTAGCCCAACTTCTTCACATAGGATGTTTGAGCTGAAGAAACAGAAATTATTTTCCTCTCCTCCTTGAAATCTTGAAGAAGGAGACAGAATCCCACATTTCACAGGAACTACCTTGTATCTAAAGGTCAGGAAGGAGTGAGAAAATAATGACCAGAATTAACAAAACCTTAATATGTAAGAAAATGCTTTGTTTCCCTTGTAGACTGTAACTGTATACACGTAGCATGTATAACTTAAGTGCATGCATATATAGGTACTTGCTACATATTAAGTAGTTTACATATGTACAGATAAGCTGTATGATATATTATATATATAGTTATTAGTAGATCAAGAACTAATATACCTTAGAATTATTATTTTATTTCTGGTGGTGCTTACCAACTCTTTATGCCAAACTGGCACTCAAAATGTGTTCCACAATATCTAAACACAGACAAAGGGTCAATTCCTTTCCTGGCAACTACATATTCTAGACAGAGCCATACTTTCTAATTTTTGCCTAGAGCTAGGGAAGTTCTCTTATTTGTTCATGTCGGTGGCAAAGCTGCCACTTCACTGCGATCAGAGTCTGATCCTGCTGCCCAGAGCAAAACACATAAAAATAAATGAACTGTCTAAACAGTAAGCAACATGCAGACCTTCCTGGCTTTCTACATACATGATCCTCTGGCTTAAAATAGGCAATTCACCACTGCAAAGAACATTAGGTCCGTAGACTGGGGATCTGGACAAATGGGTGATATGATCATTCTTGCCTGTCGTCCTCTTGAACTATTATGCAAGTCCTTTTTTTTTTTTTTTTTTTTTTTAATCAACCTTTCTATAATCTTATTTTCTACTTCTATGCATTCAGCTCGAATTTTTCTATCCAGTTGGAGTTTTTCCATCCTGGCTGGAGCTGAATGAGCATGAAATGGTGCCACCAAAATGTTATGTGGTATGTGCCTAGCTGCCTGGTGACACTGAGGTAGCAGCTGTAGCACTTCATTCACTCCTCTCTCCTCAAATATAACTTTTAGCATGTCATCTTCAGGCTGAGGGTTTTGGAAATAAGGACACATGAAGATTTCAACCTTTTTGACGGTGAGGTTGGAGCAAATGTTGTGTTCTTTTTCCTCACTTTAAAACTCGTGGAAGTGAATAACTTCCACGCTTTGAAACATGAGATCCACCTTTGCTGGAAAGGAGAATTTGATGGCTTGTACCTGATGTGCAGTCTTTGTTGACTGTACAGAAATTCAGGTTGACTTCGAAATGGCTGTAATACTGTCTGTAAAATGGTCACAATGAACAAAATTCACCAAAATTGATAAGGTTTTGCAACTCTGCTTCTAGACCTCGAAGCCATAGTTAGGTGGAAAGTTGAGATGAAAAGAGGTGGGGTTTTTTGGGTTTTTTTGTAGTTTTTCTCACAATTCTAGTTCTGGGCTGTTGCTTTGATGTCCTGCTCTGGTTGGACATCTGTCAAAGAAGGAAACTGTCCTTCCTGTGCACTAAATTGCTCCCTTAACTTTTACAGTCCTGACAGCACCAAGGAGAGATGCTAACTGGTCTGAATGCTGTGAGGATAACAGTTTTGAAGGATAGAGGACCAAGATTTTGGAAGCTGACCAAAGAGAATGGCAAAAACTTGTGGATGTGAGGGAGACTACAGACCTACAGGGAGGAAGACTGATGCTACGAACTGGCAAAGGAAATCACGGAGACACCAGGTGAGGAGACACAATTGATTTTGGGGAATTGATTTTGACTTGCATCACAGCAGGTAAATGGATATGGCAAGATAGGATACCTGGGTTTAGGTGAACAAAATAACTGCTCAGGAGCCACTTGATGTTTTATTTTGTCTTTTTTCTTTTCCCTGTTGCACAAACGGTTGTGTTCTTGTTTGCCTCCCCCGACTCACCCTCCCGTTTTCAGAGATTAAATTGGGAATTTTTTGTTCTGTAAATAAACTAGTTTTTGAAGGGAGGGTTGTATATGGAGAGGATTATGTATTCCAATGTTGTTTATGTGGATAATTTGGAAGATGTACTGTGAAAAGGTTTACATCTGCAGGACTTGCATTCTGAAACGATTGAAAGGTACCAGGGAGAATGCACTTCTCTTTCTTCCTCCCTCACGGAGTCCTTGTGTGATGCTAATCAGAGCAGATTTATAAAGTGCATAGTAAATAAAGCCTGAACAAAGGGACTTATACTGAGGAGAAGTAAAGAAAGTTGACTACTTGTTATGAAAAGTACTCTAAAGAACTATTGTGTACTCTGAATGGCACTAGTATTGTAGGGAAAAGGAAAATCATAGGGTTAAAGCCAACCTGTAAGCACAGTCATAGCATGCCGATTTAAAGTTTCCATTTAAAGATCCTGAGGCAATTGCAAATGGTGTTTTCCTGGTTTGTTTTTTTTTTTAAAGCTTGATTTTTGAAATATTAATATTCTTTAGAAAAGCAGATTTTTGTTTTCACTCAGTATAATTGTGTCTGTGGTGATGCATAAGCACACCCTTCTGACCATAACAATTCACCTTAGAGATCTTTGAAGAAAACTTGGCGAAGAGACCTAAGGTCAAAGCCCGGTATGAAGCTGTTATTCCCAGCCTCACAGTAAACACAAAATTACTGGCCTGCCTGAATAAGAAAATTGCTATTTTACCAGTGGTTGATTTGCTGTCTGGATAGATCTCTTTAGCTTAAGAACTTTCTGTTTAAGTAATCTTGGAGCAATTTATTTTTGTTTCTAGCTAAGCCTGAACAGTAAATGTATAGGGTAAAATATCTGTGCAGCGAAACTAAACATTTGAAAGTCATGGTGTATCAAAGGTGGTTATATTTACTAAATTACGAGAGGCCAGGGGTAAACCAGTAAGGCTGCAGACAGTAGATGAGGGATACCAAAAAAAGATTAATTACATATGTTGAAATACTATGCCAATGAAAATTATGCAATGAACTTGTTTACTGCAGCAATTCAGTTTCATTCCCAGCTGGTGTGTAAATACAATAAAAACGTTTATCTGTTGTTTGGTTAAATATATTAGCAAAGAAGCTAGTTGTTTCTTCTTCAATTTATTAGAAGACGAAGAAGGAACAAGTGAGCTGGGATAGGCAATGCAGTGACAAAGGATACGCCTTCTTTGCATCAGTCTTTACCTGGGGCAAGATTGACTTTCGTGCCTCTGACATATCCAGTGTCCAGTGTCTTTGGGAATGTAGATGACTAATAGAGGAAGACCAGGCAAGGGATAGCTTAAGTAAAGAGGAGAAGCACAAGCCTGTGGGACTGGGTATGTTCAAGGATGCTGAGGGAGCAGTCTGAACTTACTGCAAGGCTGCTTTCTGTTACCTCTGAGAGGTTGTAACCATTTGACAATGCCCCAAATTACTAGAAAACAGCAAATCAATCTACCTACTTAAAAGCAAGGGGAAGGATTCTGAGAACTATAGGAGAGTGAGCCCACCTTTGTCCCTGAATAAGGTTATGGAGCAAATTCTATTGATTTGCTGTTTATAGGGACACACAAAAAACCCCAGCGTGGTGGTTGTAGTGGCTACTTTGCATTCACTATGGGAAAATTGTGTCTGACCAACCTTCAGCGATGAGATGACTGGCTTGGTGGATGACAGGAGAGAAGAGGATGTTGTTTATTCTGATGGCAGCAGAGCCTTGCCCATGGTCTCCCATAGTAGTATCTCCGCAGCCAAAGTGGTAAAAATAGGCTGGACAGATGGAAAACTTGCTGTGCTGCCAAAAGATTATGATCAGTGGTGTGGAGTCCAACTGGCATGTGATTATTAGTGGCATTCCTCAGCAGATGATACTGGGGCAAATGCTGATTAATGTCTCTATTAATGAGTGGAGTGGTGGGAACGATGATAAATCCTCGTTGAGATTGCAGATGACACCAATGCAGGGACCAACGAGTAAGTTGGAGGGAAGGACTGTCACCCAGAGATAGTTCAATAACCTCGAGAAACGGGCTGACAGAAATGTCATGGAGCTCAATAGTGGCAGACTGAAGAACATAAGGCTAGGGGAAGATCTAAATGTCACTTTCAACTTCTTAAAAAGGATTTATAGAGAAGATGGAGCTAGACTTCTGTCAGAGTTTCACAGCAAAAGGGCAAGAGGCAATGAACAGAGGCTGCAGGAAGGAAAATTGTAATTAGATCTAAGATGAAAAATTCCTCACTGTGAGAATGGTTAAACAATGGACCTCGTTGCCCAGAGAGTTTTGGATTTTCTGTTTCCAGAAAAAACTACATTTAGATTATCCCTTCATTGAGATGGGAGTTGGATACAGACAACTTACAAAGTTTTTCCAACCGATGTGTTTAATAATACTGTGAAGAGGAGACTGGTGATCACAGAATTCTAGGATCCAAGTTTATAACATCAGAAAAGGCCTGTTAGACAGTCAAGTCTATAATTTACCAATTAAAAAAAAAAAAAAGACATAATTGCTTGATACAGACATAGGGGAGGTGTCATTTAGACGTTACTGTTGGTGTGAATGTAGGCCAGGAACCAGCACAATTACTGTCCTCCAAAAAACATTGTAGTGTCTTTTGACACTACACTTTCAATCTTTGAAAGACAAATTGTAGCAAAGCAGCACACATAGCTTTCCTTTATTTGCAGCATAACTGAGGATGGAGCTCACCCTAATTTGTGTCCTGCAGATAAAATAGAACCTGGACCTTTGGAAGGACTTGGATAGGAAGTATCACTAACTCATTCACTGGCTGAAAATTGCACAAGTTTATGAGTGACTCCTGTTGCTGAAACTTCTCAAGTCTTCTGTCCTGGAATGTTAGCAAATGCTTTCAAATACTTTATTGTAAGGGTCACAGTTACCTCTAAAGATACATTGGAGCAAATCTTGTTCTATGTAGTAGTTAACCAATATGTAGTCATGCTGACTTTGATCAGATACAGACAGTTTCTTACATCTGACTATTTCAGGCATAGTTATCTTCTGAAGAGCTTAATGCTGATCTCCTCTATGCTATTCATATCACTGATGAAGGTTTCCTTGTCATAGACAGGTGTAAGAAAGCCACAATTTTAAAATCTGTTCCAGGTATTAGTAAAACTATGGTCATCCTCAGGAAAGAGAAAAAGCTTGAATCACTTCAAGGAATTTAGGATGTATTTTTAATTATGCTGAAAATTTTGTTTCATGCTGTGACATACTCATTGTGATTTTGATATGATTTCCTTTTACCTCACTGTATGTGAGAGCACTTATTTCTTCCTCTTTTAACTCTTGTGACACCAGTTCTCAAACCAGTGTGTGTAATTGAAATGCAGATGTATGGAGAATGTTCTGGCAGATAAGCACATCTTCAGGAGCCAAAATATGCTAGTACAGACCTACTTCATGCTGTGCTGAGGAGTGATTTGGGGTTTGGTATCTTGATTGCTATTGCTATCACCCTTAATTTCTGTATTCTGTATGGACATGCAGACCAAGCATTACCTCCTGCTCTTAACCATCTCCTTGACTCCCTGAAGGATGAAGCTGCCCTGCTGATTGTTAGCAGTGTGCACTTGGCAGTGTGGTTTTATATAAGTTTGTACATTAATATTGTCCACTTGGGGTTAACATATATAAGCTTTTTCCAGGCTCTGAAGCAAAACCAGACAGGGAGCTAATAGGTGATAATTTTGCAGTAATGTGTATTTATGGTGATTTGTCCCTTAGCATCACTCTTCAGGGTGTGCCACGAGACATGAATATCAATGTGCAGTTGCAAAATAAGTTAATTTAGGCACTATATTAATAAAATTTTCTTCTTTATGCCAATGCTATAGTATTAGAGGCCAATACTGCATGAAGTCTTTGGCTATACATACACTAACTTGCACTATAAAATGAAGTTAGAGTGAAATGTATTATTTATAATTTTTTCCTTCAAAAAATAAAAATCTATTTATTTGAATAATTTTTGGGAAAATTCAGCACATGAAGGAAACACCTGTATCCATTTTCATTCTGGCAGTATGACCTTAAGTCTAAGGAATTTGTAAATTACTTTCTTTTTTTAAAGAATTGTTTCTGCTATGTCTTGCCTTGATTCTACTCACTTTGCAGAGATGAAAATCAATGCTCTAAACCTTTGGGATTTTGTTGGGTTTGGTTTTAAAGGGATGTTTTAACTGTGATAATCACAAAAATAACTAAAGAAGGAGGATTTATGTTGAAAGTTTCCCTTTAAAAGTCAAGTATGACTGCAGGAAACTTAATTGATCATTCAGTCTGTACACATTATATGGGCATTGAAAAGCGAACCTTAATTTTCGAAGCATTTTTGTTAGGATTATTGAGATCTCTTCTTTACAAGATGGATGCAGGACACTCCATGGCTCAGGAAACAGGTAATGTAACACTGAGTTTATTATTACACAATTCACAGCCTCAGATTCGACGTGGGGATGACTGGAAGTCATTACATCTGACAACTGCTCCATAAATTTACGTCAAAGGGAGTGATGCTTCCAGTCTGGTTTGTTAAGGGCATCCGTCTGCCTAATAAAATCATCTCTAATATTGGTTCAGAATTCAAAGACTAAACAGGCTCAGAAAACAACCACTCAGGGAAAGACTCCAGAGGGCAGTGGGGTTGAGCAAATAAACACTCGCATTCCTCGCACCTCCCAGGAGCTTTGATCCACAGACCTCAGCCACTCTTGGTAAACAAACCAAAGGCAGTTTGCTGGGCTGCTTTTCCTTGAGAGAGGCCGTGATATTTCCTCACAAATATAAAGACGTTGCATTCAATCACCGATGCCGCGTGTGAGGTTGGAACTGGGGATCCGTCTCTCCCCAAAGCAATAATTTTCTGATTTAGAACTTAAAACATTTTCCTGAATCTCGTGAAAAAGTTTTTCAATCCCACGTTCCCACTGTTGCAATTTAGGGTTTATAGGATTACGTCTTCGGTGTGAGACAATCATTAGTTCCCTGTTTCAGTAGGAAACAAGGCACCTGACAAGCTGTCGAAGCCATATCTTTTAGTACACATCCTATGTCTTTTGCTCTCTAAATAAGCAGCATGAAAGTGATGAATGTATAGATGTGGGCAGACAAATAACTAGTACAAGCCTCTTTCGTGCAAGCATGTTAAAAACAGGTATGAAATTCAGGTATTTAAGTCAGCTTAATTCCACACCTGGAAAATTATCTAGTTTTGTTTCATTTCCCACTAACATAAGCAAAAAAAGAAGCTTTTGTTTTTCCTGTCAGTCACGGTGTGTGCAAATTTATCAGTATTTCAGAAATTTATTTTTTGCAAATGACGTGAAGTTTTTTTCTTGTAAACTTAGGCTTGGTTTTTTTAGTTGGTTTTTTTTCTTTGCACTGTATTTCCAAGTAAGATTAAGCCTCTTATAGCATAAAGTGATTGTATCTAAAAGTAATTTCATGTAGCAGCTATAGGCCAGTGATTATTCAGCATTTCTTTGTGCAGGCCTGACAGGTGTGCAGGTGGTGGTTGCCCTACTAAGTTGCATCTTCTTAAGTCAGTTTCCCTGCTGATGTAAACTGATGCCACTCTGTGTAATTCAAAGGGTATGCCTGAATTTAGTTACAGATGCATTATATCAGAATAGCACATTCCGAAAATGTGTTCTAGGCATATTCAGGCCATGTAATCAAAAGCTGAGGCAAGACCTAAATATGAAAGCTGCAGTCCAGCATCTTCTTAAGAGAGGAAGAAAATGGTCATGTGGAATTCAAAAATATGAACTGTGGGTTTGGGGATACCTCAGTGTAAGTGTAGTAAAACTCAAATGCTAGGTTTGATTTTCCTTGTCCCCTTATGTCCCCATTTTCCTGTTGCCATGCCATCCTCAGTTTTATTAGGATGCCTGTTTATAGGGCCATTCTTTCAACCCGATCAAGGAATTGATTTGGGCTAATAAGAAAAGCAGTCAGGGAAGGTTTTATCATTTTTAAGAGAGAATCCTAATCAGAAATATAGTACAGACTGGAAAACGATAGTACCAGCAGTAGAAAGCAAAGTGCACCATGAGAGAGGAGAAGGAATAGTTTAAGCTGCTGTTGCCACTGAACACTTTACATTTGAAAACAATAGAGGAGTTCCAATAAACACACAAGTACTGCTGTGTGCTTTTTTCAACAAGATACTAACAGCTGCCCACCAGAGCGCAACAAGTGTCAAAGGAAAAACAAGTAGCTTTACTTATCAGAGATTCAAATTAAGTGGGAAAACTGAGTTGTTAGGAGCCTATTGCATTAATTAAAGCACAGCTACACAATATCTTAGAGGTGCTGTTTCTAAAGCTTCAGTGTGTGAGTCAAGAATTTGACTCATAATCTGACACGAAATAAAAAGCAAAGGATATGAGAAAGTGTCAGACCAGAGGGAGCAGATTTGCTGGCTGTTACCTTGATACCTTTTCTGGCAGGCAATACAGGTTAAAGGATAAAGGATTTTTAAGCAGCCAAGAGGGTGCACAAGTGAACCAGGGTCAATATCACAGGAGGAAATAAAAGACATGCTCTGCCCCAGAGTCTAACATGTAAAATTGAATAAGCTGTCAGCTTTATGTAACTATTTACCCTAGGGTGGAAATTAGTAGTTACCTTAGCAACACTAGTATCACCTGAGACATAGCCATGCTGACTGATTTACAGAGATGCATTCACTTTGACAATGTATTAAATAATCTTCCTGAATGTTTTACTGTGTTTTTATGACGAATGAGACACAGTGAAACTGAGAAAAATGTTTTCTCCAGATTTCAGAATACAAACTGCTAGTCAGACCCTTACCTGGCATAAATCTATAAAACTTCATTTGCCAATGAAACGATGCTGATTTATTGCAATGGAAGAACCAGCTCATCATTTTGAGCAGTGCCATGGTTTATTACCAGTCACTCTTTTTACTTGTCAGCTATGAGAGGGTTTGATTTTGTAATATCGTGGTCATGAAAATGGTTAACAACCCTCAGTGCTGCCAGACCTACTGGGGTAATTGAAATGTGCCTTTACCACTAAATTGAGGGTTGCCTTAGATTCCTTTCTGCCACAGAATGCTTCAAACATTAAGGACACAGCAAAGAAGTCATTACTGAAAGTACAGCTTTTTATCAGGAAAGTTCTGAATTTGGTCCTGTCATAATGCATGGTTCATATTACATGCTAGTTGAATTATTTAATCCAATAAAGTTGTCAGCAGTCTGAGCTTCCTTATACACATACCACACAACCATCTCATCTTCAAAAGATGCATTAAAGTATATTAAACTTTATTTTAAATACTCCAAGCAAGAGTGAGTCTGGTGTCTTCCAGGTTAAATTGTTATTAGCTCTCAATACACGGAAACTGCTCCTTATTTGGATGCTAAATTTACCACATTTTTAGCTATTTCACCTCATGTATTGTGGGTGAATTCTGATACTGCGGATATTCAGGTTACCTTAAAGTATAGGTACTCTGCATGCTCTGGAAAGGGTTATCCTTCTTCTTCTCCAGAGTAAACAAAACAGACTGAATTTATGGCATGCCTTTCTCAGTTGTTTTGGGGATCTTCATCAAACTCTACTAAAATCTCACCTTAGGGCACAGGCACCAAGTGTTGGAACCTCCTAGCACCTGTGGACATCTTGTCCTCAGAGGCAAAAACACGTTCCTAATGTTGTTTCACTTTTTTATGCCTCCCAGGTTCTACAGCTTATTGGGTGTGAGGAAGCCAGGTATTGATTTTCATTTTGTTTTTCTCCAGTTATACACTATTTTTCCACCTGGAAGTCTTGTCCTGTCAGTTTTGAGAACTTGTTCTTTTGGCCAGGATTTCCAGGCACGTGTGGGCCCCATTCTGAATGGAGTTTTTCAGACATGACGGAATTGGATTATGAGCTATATGCAGAAAGTCATGACAGCTACCACATGCACAAAAATCTGAGGCATGTGCAGGGGGTACATGTTGTGGATGGAAAAAAAAAGACTCAAAAGACTTTCTTTGGTGCAAGTTTTCTGCAGCAAACTCTGGTACACTTAAGGGACATACTCTGGGAAGGTTTATCTTTATTCTTCTCCATAATAAATCAGATTGAATTTATGGCACACCTTTCTCAGTTATTTTGGGGATCTTCTTAGAACTCTACTAAAATCCCACTTCATTCTTTATTACCAAGTGTATTTCCTTGTGTTTTACCTTATTAATACACACTGTTGTTTTAATAACATCCTAAGAACTCAGTTCATGCCTTTCTGTGGCAGAAAATTGGAGGGGGGGGTATTATTACTTACTATACTGTAATCTTCGTGCTTTCTGCAGACATCACTAGGCATCACCTAGACTGCTGATAAAATTATTCAATAATTTTGGAGGATGGGTTTATCCCTACTAAACTTTGCTAACAATGCATTTACAGTCTATAACCATTTATGATTTTTAGAGATCTGCCAGTGATTCAGCTCTTATTCCACTTATTGTGCCTTGTTAATCTTTTGTTAAAAATCTTCAAGAAGAAGCTAGAAAGAGGTTAAATGCATTTAAGAAATGTTGTTATATTCCACTAGCGAGCCCCTGGTGGTCTAGTGGTAAAGGCGCCGCGCTATCACCGCGGAGACCCGGGTTCGATTCCCGGTCAGGGCCACTCCCGGGCAGGTGGGGCTCGTTAGCCCTTAAAGGCAACCCACCTACGTCCTAAGGACCTCGCTGCCACCGTCCAAGCTCGCTTGGCCCCGGCAGATGAACCTTAGGATTAAAGGGTGGGCTCAGTTCCGCGCACACTGTGTCTCACCTAAAAAATCCAATGCGCAGGCTGGAAGGTGGAAAGACCTTCCCCGGATCTTCGCTCGCGAAGACTGGCCATTATTATTATTATTATTATTATTTATTATATTATTATATTCCACTGATGGCATTGTCATCTAAACTAGGCATGTTATCATGCCCAGAAAGAGATAACAGAACTGTATCTTTAACTAAGAACCAGGTCTCATGACTAGCATTAAATTTTCTGGGTTTGATACCATAGAATCTTGAGGGAACCGGCTTTTATTTTTTGTGTAAGGTCTGAGTCAAGACAGTGTTTGTTTACTACCCCCAGCAATCTCTTTGTCAGAAACCTTTTCTAATTTCAAAATTTGATCTTGACTTTTTAAGTCCTTTAAAACTTTTTCATATTGATTCACATCTTTGATTCAAGCCAAGGTTCCTTGTTTGCAGGATGAACTCTTCAAAACTCTTCAGAAATTCTTCAATTTCCTTGAAAACATCGACTCCAGTGAGGTTAAAGCATAGTACTTGTAAAACAGATACTGCTACTGTACCATATTCTCTCATTATATTAATGATTTTTTCCATCCCTGTATTAGGCTTGGTGTTCTTGCCATAACATTTT